AACTCAGGATCTAGGATGTATTTCCACAAAGGGTTGAGACTATAGAGATGCCGAATACCCTCAACTAACACCCAATTCAATGGAAGCGGAAAGGTTTCTAGGGTGTCCCTTAGCAGACTTAATCACCATCAGATTTTCTTCTGCAGCTGTGCATATGCTAGTTTTATGAAAGCTGCACTCTGATGTTTACAGAAACGACTGGGAGATTTCAGAGCAGTCTGTTACAGCAAAAAAGAGAACAGAGCTTCCACAGAGCTTGATACCAGATAGAGATTTAATTAGATGAGAAATAGCTTTACAGTGAACATCATGGGAAACTCTTTTCAGAGCTTGCATCTTAATTATAAGAACACACTTCTTTTTCATTACACTCTCTTCATGTCTTTTACATTAATATAATGGAAAACTGCAAATTTGCATGGTATATCTGGGAAATGAAAAATGAATCGTATTTCTGCCTTTCTGCAAAAGGCAGAAGTCAGACATCTATCTGTATAGAAGGAATCTGCTTCATAGGCTTTAGAAACGCAAACCTTGTGAAATAAAAAAGGAGCAAATAACACAGTGAAAAGATGGAGTGTCTCTTCCCACAGCTCATGACTCTAGGAGTTCACTAATACTTTGATCCATTTCTAATCTCATCTTTAAAACATTTATGCAGAAATGGTTGAGACGGCCAAACTCTTATCTTTTACTGATTATTATTAAAATTGCATGTATTGAACATCCATCTCTAGGGATTCTCAGAGAATTTTACAGATATAATTATTAATCTTCCTCCCATTCCATGAAGTACTTGAATACCTGTATCCTATTTTTTAAAAAAGTAAGCAGGACATACAACAGACTTCTCCTATTGCTATTGAATTCACTGGCAATCCAGAACAGCATAAGGCTTAAGTTAATTGCTGAACGTTATACTGAACAATTGCGCTGGGGCTTTGAACAAATAGTCGCCTTCCCAACTCTGTATTTTAGTCACAGTGACATCTCTTCCTTTTTTACAGAAATAAAATTCTTCCCTGTACCGTATAAAATTATCAACCCATATATACAACCACCACCAATCTGTCTCCTAATTTAGGATTCATTTTTTCTTAGGGAACCATAAACCCAAATACATTCATTTAAAATATAATCATGTATTTTTAGTACAGAAAAAAGTTTAGTGGTTTGGTTTTGGGTTTTTTTTAGGTAAATTATGCATTTATGGAAAAATAATTCAGGGCATGTAAGGTGAGAGATCAGATCTGTTTTATAAATTCATCCCACTTTACAATTATTTGAATCAATACACATAGTAGACTAATAAGTATAACTTATGGATTGTAACATATTGCTCTTGACAGTAGGGCAACACATATGTTAAGGAAGATCTAATGACTGGCACTTTAATGTGAGAAGAAACATCCAATCAAATATTAAAAATGAGCCAAGAGATGGTGATTACATTATACTCTTCCTTGTGCTCAAGGGTTTTAACCACCAATATTTCAAGGAGAATGTGTCCTCCAGAAGGGAAGAGAGAGGAAAATTCCATTTTCCAGTTTTATGCATATATGAAATAATACTGCTAAACTGATTTAAGTACAAAATAGAACTGTGCTGACTGTGCAGAATGCAGCTCACCTAAACCTACTGATATTGGCAAAACATATCTGCTTTGACTCTGCTGATATACAAATATCTTTATTTAAGTAAGTCCTCAATATCTTTGATTTTTACAAAGTTAAGGAAGGCTAATTTCTTAGTGGTTGTTGAATCCAAGAAGAACATATAAATGCCACTCCCAAAAGACTTCAATAGTGTTATGTCACCCAAATCAGATCTTTAACACTTAACAAGTCTTGCCTTGGGAGAGATAAGGACAAACAAACCCAGTCTCACCACTGAGCTTATGCCAGACAGAAGTGTGTCATGAATTAATCATACAAGCAAACTCTTGTACCTCAACTAGAATGCAATACTGTTTTTTCTTAAAAGGATGCCACAATACCTATGGGACACCCAAGCTATTAACATCTCTACTCACAAATAATGTTCAGAGTTCTAAGGGGATATGGAAAATGCCAAAGCAACTCCCTTCAAGAGATGCAAGGCCAGAAATGAAAGTATTTGCAAAACAATAAACCCACAGGGAACCCAACCTTTTTCCAAGCTGTGAAGCAAAGAAACAAAAAACAATACAGCTTCGTGAAAGCAAATGGCCCTAGGCTGAGAGAAGAGCACCCAACAGTTGTTCTTTTGCCTAAAGAACTCAGTGCTATCTGGATGCCAATTAAGACATGGGGAGGATGGATAATTGACTGGAGGTCCCAAAACATGAATCCATCTCTTTAAATTTATACTGTATACAAAACAGTTTTCTAGTAGTGCAACACAATACACAAGAGTTCCTTCACAGTTAACGTAGCACAATGCAAGACTATTGTCATCAAGCAGAAGTATAATGCCAGAGACATAGAGTAAAAAGAAACACTTTGGCCATTATCTAGTCATTTCTTTCAGAGAGGCCCAGTAAAAACTCTTGTTCTTCACCTCATTCACCCTTCCTCTCTGTCTCCTGTGAGGAGATCCATAGCTGTTCACAACTGGAATCTCTGGGGCACAGAGACATTAAGCTTCTTGCCCAGCCTTGTATAAGGAGGTCACTGGCAGGACCAGTGCAGATCTTGCAGAAGCTAATGACCTATTGATTACCTTTTTTCAGATGTCTTGTCCTGGAGCAAAGTACCTCTAGCATTTATGTTCCCAAGCCAGCGATCTGATGGTATCCTCTGGAGAGCTATCCTGAAAGGAGATAGATAACATTTTTACTAAGCATATATATTAGAGAAGCCATCAACAAGAAAGCTAAAAGTGTGAGAATAGAGCTTATAAAAACCAGTACTGAACAGACTGCTTTACCCTTGGTTCCTCAGTTTTATGTCAGTTTAAAGCAGTTTCACAGGGACTTTTAACCATTAATATCCCAGTAGTTAGTTTTTAACCCTGCCTTGAGATCTCTGAGCTTAGCAGGCTCTGCAGAACAATTCTATCCAGTTCAATGCCTTGGTCTTAGACGAATTGTCCGTGTGGGAGGAAGATGTGTGTGTCTGTACATGACCAGGTGCTCAGGACTCTGAGAAACCACTCCACCTCTGCGTGGTCCACAGGGGACTGGGAAGAAGGAGAGAGGGTTCATAAAACTGGTTTCCACTAAAAAGATCAGACCATCCTGGATTAGGGGAACTGGACAGAGGAGATTTGGTCTTTGTCCTGTGAATCCATCAATAAGGGGAATGCTGGGCACCTGGACAAAACAGAATGGGCCATTTGCTTATGGGTCCATTGACCGGGGGAATGTAGACATTGGGGTGGAAAGGCCTGGGCTATTTTGTCATGGCTTCATTGGTCAGGGGAATGCAGGCACCTGCATTGCACAGCCTGGGCAATCTGCCCATAGCTCTATCAAACAAGGAAATACGGGCACCTCTGATCTCACCAAACAGGGTTGTTTGCAGCTTTGTAAGTAGCTGACAGTATAAGAGCAGGGAATTAAAAGAAAAAAATAACAGAGCCAACCAAACAGAAAATGCTGTGGACAGGTAGGAAATGTACCACTGCCTTTGCTGTGGTACTGACAGGTATAGCTCTGTGCGAAGCCTGGCAGCTGATTCTGTTAGTTTAAGGGGGTTTATCTCCCTGTGTGTCATCAACATGCAACAGAATTACCTTCCAGGCATGTACCACAAGCTCTTTTCTGGCTCCTGCAAGCAAAAAGGAGCAAAAGTATTTTACATGCTGCAAGTATTTAAATTGGTTGGTTCACTAGAAAGAAAGAAAAAGAAAAACACAGAGAGAGAGAGAAAGAGGGAATCCCTATGGAAACAAAGCTTTCACTCTGCTAATGGAGTTAGTCAGACAGACACTGTCACCACTTATAAAGCAGGGCCAAAGAACCCCGAGGGCAAGTCCCTCTGCTATGATGGAAGAACTCAACCAGAGGAGAAAATAGCTCTCAAATTGGAGTTAGCATATCCATAGAGGACATCTAAGCCTGGGAACAAATGCAACCAGCTCTCTAGTTCACTGGCATGGACTGTGGTGCAGCCCTCCGTTGTCAACCTCTCCCCAAAAGCAACAGAAACAAACAGACCCTGAGAGATACAGAAGGGTAGAGCGGTGCATGAGCTAAAATACAACATGTCCATTTAGCCACTGTTCAACACCAATTAGAACTGTGATACTCAAAACCAAACTGTTGCTGCTCTAGAGAACTATCAAACAGCATAAAAGCTGTGACAAAAGAGTAACTACCCGCAGACAGCCAGTAGGCACAAAGTGCCTTTGGTCCTGCGAGCTCACTGGAGTTTTACCTACTTCTCTTCTCCTAATGAATAAACTGGCTGGCTTTGTTTGAAGACAGGGTTCTCTCAATGCTTACTCACCCTAAGCCAAGCTGTGTTTTCTAGTACATAGTTTAAGTGACCAAGCCAAAAGTCTGATCACAGTTTCCACTTCTTTCACAGATCCCCTTAGTGCCTTAGTTTACCTGACTCTAGAACTCATGCTAAAGCCATGTTCCTAAAATGCTTTGAGAAATTTGGATGGCATTAATACTGCATTTATGCCAATAAACCTTGGATTTCTCTGAGTGACACTGTTGACACTTGGCTCAGAAACACAAGGAAGTAACCAGCGCTTGACAAGTTACCACATATTGGCTGAACTGCAAGAAATGACTGGGCGCAGTAACCCCAGGGAGAGATGTTTAAACTAAGGCATTTCCTATCTCACATCTGAGACAGGATGAAAGCAGGTACACAGCCACTTGCTGTGGCTTGGCCAGGTGGTGGTAACTCAGGTGTGATGTTCTGAGATCAGTCACAGCCCCACAACTGCTTATGCAGAGTCTTCTAAATAGGAGCTATTACTTTTTCCTGAACATCACCTTGGGATGTTTGCTGTGTATGCAAAGTCCTATATCTATTCTTGGATGTGTATCTTCTGTCTTCCAGGTGATTTATCGTGCCTTAAGTCCGGCTAACAAGATCGAAGACCCCTATAGTCCTGAGGCTCAAGATCTCCTGAAACTCACCAACCTCCGCCTCCTTTTGTTAAAAAGACAGGAATGTCCATGCCATGGTTCGGGATTGGTAGAGAAACCTCAGAGATTTGCCCACTATGCTATTTATGACCTGATCATCCGGGGAAGCTGCTTTTGCAATGGGCATGCAGAGGAATGCGAGCTTGCCAACAGGACAGGAGTCATGGAGAACGTGGTGAGTTCTAGACATTCACTAACTTACTAGACCTGTTACCTGCTAGTGCTTTCTCAGCCTAATTGTACATCTTGTGCATGATCCTGTCCAAGCCTCCCTAAGCTTATCCAAAAAAGGGCAACACTGTCAGTCCACATTAGTGAAACCTAAACCACTCTGGGAAAAGATTTCCTATAACCCTTGCTGCAGTTCCATGTGTATTAGTTGCATTGCTAGAGATGGGTCCTTCTAAAAATTCTGAACCTCAAAATACCTATAAATTGTGAAGGGGTTTTGTAATTGGAACGGAGATCCAACCCCAAATATAGTGAATGAAATCTCCTACCTATATGCCTGTGCAGAACTGAACTAATCTCTTTGATGCAAAGACTGCCCTGACCAGAATTTCAGCATCAGATCTCGAATCTCAGATTTTCTGAATTTGTGAGACTTAGGGTTTCAGCCTTTACTTTTAGGTTTTCAGTCTTCTGTGTTTTTGTTACTTTCACTACATAGACAGCAGTGTTCAGGATGTGAAAATAATTCTCACTCCCACCCTCTTTTACCCGTTCAGCTTAAAATAAGTTAGAATAGGTTTTTTTAAAAGCCAAACCTTGTAGGAAGATTATTCTATAGTACTACAACTAACCCCTCCCTGTTCAGTCTTTTATCTGCGTTTGACCCTGGATGTGCAGAAGATGTGAGTTGTGTTTGTATGCATACTCAGAAATTGCGATTCAGGGGGAATGACTGCTGTCTCCTTTTTGATTTAGCTGCAAGTATTATATAGAAGAACTGTAATAACTGTCACAGGGAAATGATGCTAACCAAATATCCAGGTACATCTAAACACATACATCACAGACAGAATTCGAGCCACTTTAAACTAGTCAATGGCTCCACTGGTTCCAGAAGGCTCTCTGTCTCTGTAACGGGTTTTGAAAACCAAAATAACCCTTAGAACTTTAGTCCCTGGTGCATTCTGACATAATAGACTCAAGAAATATATCCTCAGCTATTTTCTGTCCCTTTAGATATATGGTACACTTGACATTTTGGTTTTTTTTTTCTTCTGGAATGTGTATTCATTGTCTTCCTTTCAACTTTTCTAGGTTCAGAGGTAGGTGTTGTAAGATAACTAGGACTCTATGAGTTTCACAATATTTGCAAAATCATTTCTGAATCAGTTTCATCTGTGGTATAAATCTAAGATTCAGCTACAGTGTTCTAGCACTAGGTGACATTATCAGGTTCAGTTAACTATAAATATAGACTCACTTAATACATAACTGTGTGGAGAAAAGCTGTTTAAAGAGTGCATCGTCCCTATTGCAAACTGTTAAATATAAACATAGTGAAACCAAATAGATGAATAACATGCTAAATGAATACAGCTGGTAGGAGAATAAACTCTCTGCCCATCAGAAAAGGAAAAGACAATATTGTGTATATTATTGCCATAACCATTGTAAACTATGACTGGATTTTTTTTCCCACTAGTCACAAGGGAATAGAATCTTTTTGTGCCATCGATGACTTCATGGGGCAGAAGGTGAAACAGCTTTGATGAAATGCACTTCATGAGTGACTCATGTCCCAGGAGACAAGAGGGTGGATGCATCACATCATTCACACAGGCCCAGATATTAGCAAGTCTTTGCTTAAGCAGAGATTCAAATGCAGCCATGAGAAAAGTGAGAAAAGCCTTCCAGAAATTTAACTATCTCTAGAATCCTAGATGAGGGCCGGAAAAGGCAGTAAGTGAGCTGGTCTGAGTCCTCGCATGAAGGTATGATCAAGCATATCTAAGCCATTCACTTGTTGAACTAGTTTTTGAACATCTCTGACGAAGGAGATTCAATAGCAACCCTCAGTAGTTGCTCCCATTTTGACATTTTGAACGCTCTTCTTTAGTGCCTGCCTAAATAATCTCTGCTGCAAATTAAGGTGATTCCTTCTTGTCCCCTCTCCCCCAGTGATCATGGAGGGCAGTTGATCCTCATTCCGCAGATATGATTGGAAGGTTCTTACCATATCCCTCCTTAGTTTTTGGGTTTTTGTGCTAACCAGAGAAGTGTGAAACCTTAGGTGGTCAAAAAATTCTACTCCCAGGTCATACAAGCCTGGAGTAAAGATGATCATGCTATTTTGCTCCTCTTTTCTGTGCTTTAGTCATTACACCCTAGCTCTTTCTCAAATACGCAATGAAAATCCACTCCTAAAAGAGCCAGGTTCCTGGTCCTGTTATGTTTTTTCTAATACTTACCAATGATGATATTGTAGTGGTGGAGGGAGAGTTCACATAGGTACAGATCTCAGGATTTGGTTTACATAGCTAGCATGAGGTAGTTTATATAAAGTGTATAACTTTGCATCTTACAATATGGTAATCTCCTTGCCTACATGCAGAAGGAAAAGGCCTTTGTGGTTGAGTGGTGAACACCAATGATACATTTCATATCAGCCAAAGCACATTGCAACAAAAATCTTTGTCATCCTGCAATTTCTTGGCAGAGACAGGGAAGGCGCTCTACTTTCAGTCACATGGTGACTGAAATAGGACAGGGAAAAGAGATGTTAGAAACAAACACTGCATGTCCAGAAATAATGTGATTCATTCCACTGGCTGCATCTAATATTTAATGAACACATGGGCAGAGCAAGTCTCAAGACACACACTTTTTAATGTGGCTAGCATGGGTGATATCACAGCATGAAGGCAGAGCAGCTTCATGTTTCCTGGGCTGCTGTCAAGTAATTAAATAAAATGCTGGAAAAATACAGACCTCCACAGAAAGGCTTAAGTAATAGGAGTTTCAGTCTCTTAAGAGTTCAGAGTCTTCCTACAATGTATTTATTTTCTGTAGTTAACAAAAACAAAAGCAAGTCCATGCAGAAAACAACTGTAATTGTTTGCCATGGGATAGGCCCAAAAACTGAGATCATTCTGCACTTAGGTCTTGGAAGAGACATAATTGTGCTAACTTGTAAGTCTGCTCTTCTTACTCTTGAAAGAAATCTGTTCCATTTGTAATAATTCTAACACTGCTAGACCAATACTATATGGAGGCTAAATAATGGAGAAAACTAAAGCCAATTTCTTGACACTTTTGAACCAACATTTTTCAACACTATTTTGGAGGGACTAGATGATCTATGACTACTAGATAATCTGTCAATGATCAATTTATCTGTGGATCTGTCAGTTCAGTCATGACAACCCATTCAGCTTCTGGCTTCTCTACTGAGGCTGCCACCAGGAAATGCAGCTCTGTGGGAAGCAATGTCACAGACACCACAGTGTCATAGAAACAAATGGATACAAGAAAACTGCAAATTGTAAAACCTACCTCCAAAGGGTACATCGTTCCTCATAGCTTGAAATCCTAGCTAGTTTCATGCATATTCTCTCTAGTCATAAGTCATTTGTGAAAATACTGACTACAGCAAGGTTCAAAGTAGTCTTCAATATGATCCAGTGGAAATGTCCTTTGACTTCTTATTTTGGCAGCAAACCAGTAATAATTACTCTTTCAATGTGGCTTTTTTTTTGAACAAGCCACGCACCCACCTGAACACAATTTATCTAGATCACACTTCCCTTATTAACTACTGAGAATATCATGTCAGACAGGAGAAAAACTTGAGGAATGAAGATGGGAGCTGTAAACAATAGGCAAGAAACTTCTGGACAAACATATCTTGAATTTGGGGTTTGTTGCTATTGACAGTGATGTTTTCTTGTTTTCTATTTCCTTTCCTCAGACCAAAAAAAAAGAGACACAGAGAGGTCATAACCAACTTAAATAGCTTCTTAGGATAGCTAAGGACAAAATTCTCCTTTCTGAATTTCATGGCCTGTATTATTCAGACTCTTACGAGTAGCTCCTTTGTCAGTGAGAGAAATTATTGAGATTGCATTTTGCCACAGAAACTACAGAGAAGCATTTTCTTTTAAATGGAGGGCATTAATATGCCATTATAAGGGAAACAACTGCCAGGACCTGGCCACCTGAATACATCTAGTCTTCTACCATTGGATGCAATGGAATGTAATCCTGTCCCAGGTATTGCTGTTGCAGGATGTACAAAGTTATGTGTTGCTCCACAGTAAATTGTTTCTTTATTAAGCTCCAACAAAGTTAGTAAGAGCTGTCAGGTTTACGATCTGCTTTGATGACACATTTTAGCTGAGTCCAGGGGTGCTTCCAGAACAAAGTTTACAAAGCAGAAAGCGCACGTGGGCAGAACACAGAATCTAGACCAAAGTCCTTTCTGTTTGCCAAACATTTCACAATTCTCTTTCTAGTCCATGAGAAGTAAGTATGGACAGAGGAAAGTGAATGTGGATTAAAATGTTTTTGTATAAAGCATTAGGGGTTTTTTCTTGTTAATTATTGGTACCTACCCTGCCAGGAAATTCTTACAAGTTGCCTCGGATGTTTCTTTTGCTTCTTTATCCTGTTTACAGAGACAAACTAGACTCCCTGTGGGTCTGATCCTCCACAATGAAGCAAATGGAAAGTTTTCCACTTACTTCAAAGGGAGCAGGATCTGGTCCTAAGTAAGATTCCTTGTTTGGCATAATGGAGGTTACATAAGGTAAAACTTGTTTTTCTACAGCAATTTTCTAGGTGACTTGCCTGTTGTATCCCTTGCAAATATTACCTCCTCTTCAAATATCTTGTGCAGTTCTACTGATAATCCCCAGCTAAGTTTTCACATTATTTGATCCAAGCTGTGCTAGTCTGTATGATGTCCAGCACTCAGAGATGCAGGAGGTGCTCTCTGTTGTAGTTGGCAACTCAAACAGTAGGTTTTGTTTAAGAAAAAGTTATCCTGTGTACATCAACTAAGTAAGTAGCATCAGGAATGTTTAAAAAAAAAAAAGATTACAAGAGCTTCTAGATCATGTCAGAATAAATTCTAGAAACAGATCCCTGTGGTGATTTTTTTCCAAAAATTAAAACTGAATATGGACTTCAAGCTCTGCCCATAATGATCTGAAAACAGAGATCATC